GTGGTTAAGTAGATAGATTCTACTAACTCACATGAGACCATGGCAAATAAGGGCTTCGTAGTTCTATGATGTGCAAGGGAATACACACACACACACACACACACACACTTTAAAGATGTTAAATGACTACTGAACTAATTCGAGCCTTTGGAAAAAAGGGTGAATTTTACGGTATATGAATTATATCTCAATGAAGATGTTAAAAAAGTAATCATTTTAGTATGTGATGTCTACCTGAAAGAAATGGTCCTAAGAGTATTTTAATACAAAATACAGATACAGTACAGAAACTAACATTGCAAAGGAAATTTTCTAAAGTAGCTGATTTGATTCATGTGAAATTGAATCTGGTTCATAAAGTTATTGAATTGCTTGGAGACTCATTTTTAGTGTGTGATTAATAAAATGATGCCCACATAGGATTTGCAAATATTAAATACTATGACTAAAATAATGAATTCCTTAATTTTTCCTGTAAACCATTGGGGGAAAAAGAACTTTATTTGTTTGGGGGAAGAAAGAAAGCTGCAGCTCTTTCTTATGTAACGTCCATAAGTTTCAAGGTCCAATTAAAATTTCACTTTCTCTAGAAAATTGCTTTCCTTCCTCACTCTTGCCCTTTCTAATAGTATTAGTCCTAGCTTCCCTTTACTGAACACTCACTGTGCTCTTGGGAATATGTCAAGTCATTCATAAACCTGATCAAACTTCATTTTGACAACAGTTCATGAGGTAAATGTAATTAGCTCCACTTAACAGATGAGACTGAGACAGGTAAGTTAGGCAACTTGACCAGATCACATGGCTATTAATTAAATCAAAGCTGGAACTGCCAGGTTACAAACCTGCTAACCTGTAATCCTCTACTATATGAATCCATCTTTAAAAATATTTTATTCTATTTTTTTGACTTTTATTTTAATTTCAGGGGTACACATACAGGTTTATTCTATGGAGAAATTACCTGTTGTGGGGCTTTGGTATACATATTATTTTGTCACCTAGGTAATAAGTGTAGTGCTCAACTGGTAGTTTTTTTGTTTTGTTTGTTTGAGACAGGGTCTTGCTCTGTTGCCCAGGCTGGAATGCAGTGGTGCGATCTCAGCTCACTGCAACCTCTGCCTCCTGGGGTCAAGTGATTCTCCCACCTCAGCCTCCAGAGTAGCTGGGACAACAGACACATGCCACCTTGTCTGGCTATTTGTTTTTGGTATTTTTTGTAGAGATGTGGTTTTGTCTTTTTGCCCAGGCTGGTCTTGAACTCCCAGACTTAAGTGATCCTCCGGCCTTGGCCTCCCAAAGTGCTAGGATTACAGACATGAGCCACTGTGCTCGGCTGACAGATAGTTTTTTGATCCTTGCCCTTTTTCCATCCTCCACCCTCAAATAGGCCCTGATGTCTATTGTTCCCTTCTTATGTCCATGTGTACTCAAAGTTTAGCTCCCATTTATAAGTGAGAACATGTGGCATTTGGTTTTCTGTTCCTGTGTTAATTCACTTAGGATAATGGCCTCCAGCTCCATCCACTTTGCTGCAAAGGACATGATCTCATTCTTTTTCATAGCTGTGTAGTATTCCATGGTGTATATGTACTGCATTTTCTTTATCTAGTCTACTGTCGATGGGCATTTGGGTTGATTCCATGTCTTTGGTATTGTGAATAGCACTGCAATGAACATATGTATGTATATGTCTTTATGGTATAGTGATTTATATTCCTTTGGGTAAATATCCAATAATGGGATTGTTGGGTTAAATGGTAGTTCTAAATTCTTTGAGAAATTGACAAACTGCTTTCTGCAGTGGCTAAACTAATTTACATTCCCACCAACAGTGGGAGCTTTTTAATAACGGCTCTCTGACTGGTATGAGATGGTATCTTACTGTGGTTTTGATTCATATTTACCTAATGATTAGAGTAATGTTGAATATTTTTTCATATGCTTGTTGACTGTGCGTATGTCTTCTTTAGAAAAGTGCTTATGTCCTTTGCCCACTTTTTAATGGAATTGTCTGTTTATTACTTGCTACTTTAAATTTCTTATGGATTCTGGATATTAGATCTTTGTTAGATGCATAGTTCACAAATATATTCTCCCATTCTGTGAGTTGTCTGTTTACTCTGCTGATAGTTTCTTTTGCTGTGCAGAAGCTGTTTAGTCTAATCAGGTTCCATTTGTCGATTTTTGTTCTTGTTGCAACTGCTTTTCGTGTCTTCGTCATGAAATCTTTGCCAGGGCCTATGTCTAGAATGGTATTCCTAAGTTTCTTCAAGAGTTTTTGTAGTTTTGGGTTTTACACTTAAGTCTTTAATCCATCTTAAGTTGATTTTTGTGTATGGTATAATATAAAGTAGGGGTCTGGCTGGGCGTGGTGGCTCACGCCTGTAACCCCAGCACTTTGAGAGGCTGAGGCAGGCGGATCACGAGGTCAGGAGATCAAGACCATCCTGGCCAAAATGGTGAAACCCCATCTCTATTAAAAATACAAAATTAGCTGGGTGTGGTGGCACACGCCTGTAGTCCCAGCTACTCAGGAGGCTGAGGCAGGAGAATTGCTTGAACCTGAGAGGCGGAGGTTGCAGTGAGCCGAGATCGCGCCACTGCACTCCAGCCTGGTGACAGAGCAAGACTCCGTCTCAAAAAAAAAAAAAAAAAAAAAAAAAAAAAAAAAAAAAAAAAAAAAAAAGGAAAAAAAGAAAAAAAAAGAAAAAAAGAAGGGGCTCAGTTTCAATCATCTGCATATGACTGGCCAGTTATCTCAGCACCATTTATTGAATAGGGAGAGTCCTTTCCCGTTGCTTTTGTCAATTTTGTTGAAGATCAGATGGTGTGCAGCTTTATTTCTGGGTTTACTTCTCTATTCTGTTCCATTGGTCTAAGTATCTGTTTTTGTCCAGTATTTCTGGCATACTGTTTTTGTACCAGTATTATTCTGTTTTGGTTACTGTACCCTTCCAGTATAGTTTGAAGTCAGTTCATGCCATGCCAACAACTTTGTTCTTTTTGCTTAGGATTGCTTTGGCTATTCAGGCTCTTTTTTGATTTCATATGAATTTTAGAATAGTTTTTTTCTAATTCCGTGAGGCATGTCTTTGGTAGTTTGATAGGAATAGCTTTGAATCTGTACATTGTTCTGGGCAGTATGACTATTTTAACAATATTGATTCTTCTTATCCATGAGCATTGAATGTTTTTCCATTTGTTTGTGTGAGTCCATCTTTGCACTCTGTTTCATCTGTGAATGTTTACAAATGAGTAGATAATGAGAGATGAGGATAATCAGTCCTTTCTCAGAATATTCCTGAACAAGAGTGACAAGCTAAAACTACACTTCTGACAGGAGATCCAAGCTAGTTTTCTTCAATAACAACAACAATAACAGTATTCTGAGGCACAGTTATAGCTATTTATATAGTCAAAGAAATTCCTTCTTCAAGGAGATACACTTAATTCCAGGAGCCAACTAGAGTATTGAGAGAAGAGTTCAACATTAAATAATTCAAACATTGAGTTGTTTTCTGGAAATGCTTGAGATCATAGTTTTTGTTGAGTACAGATTTTTACATTTTATTTTTCATTCATTCACTTATTCAGTGGTTATCTACTTATCTAGTGGACACTTACTACATGCTAGGCACTCTTCCAGGCATTTGAAATATAGCAGAGGACATAGTAGACAAAAAAAAATCCCTGCCCTAAGAGGGAAAAAAATAATAAAAAAGAAAACAGAAATGTTGAGGGAAAAAGCCCCAAGAAACAACAATAAGAAAATCTCTGACCTTATAGAGTTTACATCACAGTGGAGGAAGATAGACAAATAAATATATGTTAGGCCGGGCATGGTGGCTTATGCCTGTAATCCTAGCACTTTGGGAGGCTGAGGCGGGTGGATCACGAGGTCAGGAGATTGAGACCATCCTGGCTAACACGGTGAAACCCTGTCTCTACCAAAAATACAAAAAGTAGGCGGATGTGGTGGTGGATGCCTGTAGTCCCAGCTACTTGGGAGGCTGAGGCAGGAGAATGGCGTGAACCTGGGAGGCAGAGCTTGTGGTGAGCCCAGATCGTGCCACTGCATTCCAGCCTGGGCAACAGAGTGAGACTCCGTCTCAAGGAAAAAAAAAAAAAGAGAGAAAAAAAAAAAGAAAGATATGCTAGATGATGCTAAGTGATATGAAATAGAAATAATGAAGGGCAAGTGGCAGAGAGAAGTGATAGTTTGTGTTCCTGGGTCAAGGAGAACCTCTCTGAGTTACTAGCATTAAAGTGGAGGCTTGAATGAATGACTGAGAGAGTAACTTATGTGAATATCTGAGGGAAGAGCATCCTACAGAAATGAAAAACAAGTGCAAAGGCCCTGAGCTTGATGTGTCTTAGAAAGAGTAAAAAAAAAAGGCTAGTAGGACTGGAGCAGAAAGAACAAGGAGTGGTGGTAGAGAAGGTCACAGAGGAAACTCCACCTAGGCCCGATAGACTTCGTGGCTTTTCTCTGAAGAAGGTAGATCAGTTAGGGAGCTAGTGTAATGACTGAGGTGAGGAATGATATGGGATGGCAGTAGAGGGGATGAGAATTGGTTGGCTATTGGACATATTTAAAAGCTGAATTGACAGGAGTTACTGATAGATTGGAATGTAGAGTGTGAGAGATTGGGTGTGAGTATGATGAAATAGTTGTGTTAAAGTGCAAGTTAACTAATAGGGAAGGCGGGGGTGTGTGGGAAGGCCTTCAAAGTCCTCCTCAGGCTTGGTTCTAGTGTATACAGACCATTTGACCTTGAGGTTAAGTCAATAGGAGTCGCAAAATAACTGACTACTAAGAATAGGATGAAATCAGTGGTGACCCCTCTGCCCAGTGGGTCTTGTTCCGAGAGGTTGCCAAGCTAAATAGTGGTTGTGGGAAAAGAACAAATATCTTTTCTAATGATTGATTTCCAGTTAAGGAGAGGAATGGAAAGTAAAGGGGTAAGGACAGACGTTCATCAAGTCTTAGGAAGTTTCAGGGCTGGGAGTATATTGTAGGGCCAAGCCATAGTTTTTCCCTGGCTTTCCATTTTTTTCCTCTCTTTCCTTTTTTCCTAATTTCCCCACTCCCTCCTTGGTCCAAGTTCTTGCCTGCAGGAAGGTACAGTTTACCTTTAGTTCTCAAACTTCAGCGGGCATCCGAATTCCCTGGAGGGTCTGTGAAAACACAGATTGCTGGGCCCCACTCCCAGAGATTCTAAGTGTGCGTGTGTGTTTGTGCAGAGGGATGGTGGACGAAGGCGCTGAGATTTTGTATTTCTAACAGGCTCCCAGGTAATGCTTGGGAAGAACTGTTTCTTCTTGGACAGGCACACTTACAAGGCAACGGGATCTTGAGCTCCACCTTGAAGGATGTGAGCTGGGAAAGTTTCAGCTCACAGAGATTTACAGTCACTTGAGAAATGGCCCACTTCCTCCAAGGTGTTTCTTGGATGCCCCAAACGGATGAAAACAAGAAGCGACCGTGGGCGAGGAGGAGGAGCTGGCCGTCCTCCTCGGTTGGGCAGCCCGTCGGAGCTCACCAGCGAGGCGAGGGCGGGAAGACAGCCCCCAGGCCGGCCCACGGATCCTCAGAAGGCGCGGACCTGGAGGAGGCGCCCTAGAAGGCGACGCCTCTTGCCTCTCGCCTCTCGAAGGAAGTTTGCTCTTAATTTCAGAGCCGGGTTCGCCGTCGGCTCAACTCCAGGAGCAAGCAGCGGGCGCGGACCAGAGCAGCCAGTCCCCTGGGCGCGGGCCGGGCAGTTGCCGAGCTCAGCAGCGGCGGCTCGCGGCCATGGGCGGCTCAGCCTCCAGCCAGCTGGACGAGGGCAAGTGCGCTTACATCCGAGGTACGCCCGCCCGCCCGGGGGCCTGGGGAGCCCCCTGACCCCTGCACCAGGCTGGCTGCCGCTGTCGGGGCCCCAAGGGGCGCGCCCGGGGCCCTCTCCCTGCAGCGCGCGGGGATCCCCGACCGCAGCCCGCCCGCGCGAGCCGGGTTTCCTGCCCCAGCCCGCGTGCTCCGGCGCAGGTGTGGACCCGGGACCCGGAGGGCTTGGGAGCGAGGCAGGTGCAGGATGTGGGTGGGGACGCCGGCGCCTACGCCGCTCCCGCCGCCTCGGGGTCAGTGCCGCCCCCGCTCGGCGAACTTCGCCCTCCGGTACCTGCACTGGACCGAGTTCTGAGCGGTTTCTGAACTGGCCGCCAAGAGAACCACGGGGATATCCCGCGTTTCTAGAGATACCCTTGGGGATTCCCGACCGCTAAAGCAGAATTTCCCTCTTAGTAATGTTGGTCTGGCTTTGGAAAGCTCGGCGTCTGCCGCAGCTTCGCTCGCACTTCACCGTAGCACTTGCAGGATGATTTCATCAGCGGCAGAAAGGACAATATCATGCCGTTCCCTTCCCGCCCCGGAGAGGGGGAAGCAAAAGAGGAACACTGGTGTGCTTTGTAACTGTCGTGAAAGTTATAGATGGGGAGAAACTCATTTAGGGAGACCCTCAGAGATGTGGGGACTCAATAGAGAGCGTGAGGCAGAAACAAAACAAAACAAAACAAAACAAAACCCAAACCGAACTGAAACTGCAGGAAGTCCTGACTGTTATCTCCTTTATTTCCTGGGTGTATTTGGCCTCCCTTCTTCTCACCCCCCACCCCAACATTGCCTTCAACCGCTACCTAACATTTGGTTATCTTACCAATTTACTGTTCTTCCCCCGCCCCGCCGCCCTATCCCCCACCCTCGGCTTCAGAAATATCTTCCAGTTAAACTCTAGGTCTGTTTGGCCCTTGAATCCTTTCCTAAGAGGAAATCATTTATTTGGTGTTCTTATTCCATATTTGTTTTCAGTCACCACAACATTTAAGACCATTTAAAAAGGATATCAAATCAGGGCACTTGAAGAGCAACGGAGTTGATTTTACAGATTCCTGCTCTGGTGCTTTTGGAGGTAAAAGATCAACAATGGGGATAACACTTTGTCAAGTATCTCTTTGCTTTTGTTTGTTAAGAGGGGAAAAGATGGATGATTTGTTTATATTAGTAAAAGAGCTGAACTAAGCTTAAAAGAAATAAATGAAGCCTGCCTTAGTCTTAAAAGTGTGGTTATATGCTTGTGTTACCAGTGCATAGGGACTGAAAGGGCAATCTAGCAGAACTTAGTGAGAAAGGGCTTGCATTTGGATGTTAGCAAGTTGTGTTTAGGCATTTATATAAGACTTTATTTCACTGGAAAGCTTAGGAGCACCTAACCTGGAAGCATGGCCATGTGTACACTAATCATTTGAAGTCAAGAAATGTGAAGGATTAACTTGCTTAAAGAAGACTTCCTGGCCATGCCATTTGTTGCTATTGATGCAAACATTGTACTCAGATAATAAGAAAATTTATTACCTTCTTTATTCTGAAAGCTATTAAATTATTACACATACAAAAGTATGAGGGAGTTAGGGCAAGTGAAGAACTTGTAATGCATGTGTTTGAGTGAATAAACCTATAGCATATGGTGTGACAGTCATTACGTCCCCCAGTCTTGTTCCGCTTTCTCTCTTCATTCTGTATTCAGGAGGGCACTTGCAAGGTATGTGTAGTGGGAGAGGGAAGAGAAGAGTTAAAGTTAGAATACCTCCAGAGAAAAAGACTCATCGCTTCATGTGAGAATGCTAGTCTTGCCAAAAGAGAAAAGAACCTTGGAGAAATGCATGGTGTTGTACATTGTTAGTGCGTGAGCAAATGAGGGTCACGGGGCTGTGATTTCCTGATGGTTTTGAAGCCCAGGTTCCTGAGTAAAATCATAGCCTTATCTTTACCTCTTTGCCCATTTTTTAGCCTATAGATATTCTCAAGCTTTGATTCAATTGTAAGCAAAACAATTGAAAGTATGACAGTAAAGTTTAAATATACTTTTATGACCTGTTTCTCATAAAGTAGCCATCAGGGAAATACAGATTTGAAAGCTCCTAAAGCTGAGACAATAACTTTCTTTTAAGCTTGATAAACTTTGCTAACAAGGAGAGCAGCTAGTCAATATATTTTGAGTGACTTTTGTTAACTTTGTTTTGTATGCATTATAAGCAGCTGTATGCTGCTGACACTGAATCAGACTTTACTTCAAGACAAATCATTTAATAGCTGCCATTCCTTGTGTGCCTCAAAACACCTGCCTCATATGGATGTTTTGAAAATACATTGTTTCTTAGGATTTTGTTAATCTCCAGGTAAAGATATATCAGCTATGCTAAGGAGTGACTTCATTTCTAAAGATGTTAGTTTTAGAACAATGCTCATGTTTCTTACAACAGAATAAATTTTTAGGATTGTTTCTAGAGGCCTTTCAGTAATGTCCCTTGATAAGATGTTTCTATTAATAAATAATACCGAGACCAACTTGTGATCACATGAGCCATGTCATATGTTCGTCTTAAGTGATGCTTTTAGCACTGACCTAAAATGATCTCTTTTTTTTTTTTTTTTTTTTTTTTTTTTTTGAGACGGAGGCTTGCTCTGTTGCCAGGCTGGAGTGCAATGGCGCGATCTCGGATCACTGCAACCTCCGACTCCCTGGTTCAAGCGATTCTCCTGTCTCAGCCTCCCGAGTAGCTGGGATTACAGGAACGTGCCACCATGCCCAGCTAATTTTTGTGTTTTTAATAGAGATGGGGTTTCACCATGTGGGTCAGGATGGTCTCGATCTCCTGACCTCATGATCCGTCCACCTCGGCCTCCCAGAGTGCTGGGATTATAGGCGTGAACCACAGCGCCCAGCCTATCTTTTTTTTTTTTTAAATGAGGAAGAAAGCTCATAGATTCCAGGCATCAGTGGTCAGTTTGGGTGCTCTTCTCTCTTTATGCCATGTTTTCTTTTCTTTTTTTAGTTTTCTGAGACAGGGTCTCACTCTGTTACCCAGGCTGAAGTGCAGTGGTGCAATCACTGTGAGCCTTGACCTCCCCTGGCTCAGGTGATCCTCCCACCTCAGCCTCCTGAGTAGCTGGAACTACAAGTGTGTGCCACCATGCGCAGCTAATTGTTGTGTTTTTTGTAGAGATGGGGTTTTTGCCATGTTGCCCAGGCTGGTCTCAAACTCCTGGGCTCAAGCAATCTTCCCGCCTTGGCCTCCCAAAGTGCTGGGATTACAGGCGTGAGTCACCGTGCCTGGCCTCTTTTTCTTTAAAGCTTTTGGTATGCCCGAAATTAAACTATAGTTTAAAAAATTTACCCAAACCAAACCAAAACCAACAACAACAACAAAAAAAAACAAAAAAACCCCAAAAACCAAAACCCCACAGCGTGTTTTCCTGTTTAAGCAATAATTTTATTTCCTTCTAAAAATTACCCTTGAATTTTTAATGAATCAAAAAGAAAACAAACCTGAAAGCTCTCCCATATAAGAAGTCCTGTGGAGGGTCAGAAAAGTACTGGACAGTCAGTGCTTCAGCTGAGAGCTATGGGATACAGAGATCCTGCTGGGCACTTGCAGGCCTGCCAGCAGCAGATGCCAGTTAGAAAAACGGTTTCTCCCCCACTGGATTTATTATTGCATAGTCAGTTACACAATATATAAAGGGCCCAGTGGCTTCCTCCAAATGCTCCTCAATGATCTGATGCTTATAAAGTAAGAAATGAGTTTCAGCTTTAAAATAGCACATATTTTACTCAGAGGAGTTCTCTCTTATGTATACAAGGGTTAACTTAGGTGGCTAGATATAAAGTTTAAAGTGATGTGTCTAGAATGAAGTCTCCATGGGCAAAGTGGAGGATGCGGAGAGCTGTACATATCTGCTGTCTACGTAGTGTAGATGTGTCGTGCTAGTCTATGCATTTGCTGCTTCGGTTATAATTTGTTGGTGGGAGATGGGCATAAGAACTGCTCTGACTTAACCTGAATATTTTTGGTAGTGTAATCTTAGAGTCCAAGTGGGCTAGTAATGGCAATATACTGTGATGAGAAAGTTAGGAAATGCATTATGGTAGACACTGTTGTATGTCAACCCAACATCCTTTTCCCATTCCTCCATTTTTAAATTTAATTTTATTTTTTTGGGACAGGGTCTCACTCTGTCGCCCGGACTACAGTGCAGTGGGACAATGATGGCTCACTGCAACCTTGACCTCCGTGGGCTCGAGTGATCCTCCCACCTCGCTGTCCTAAGTAGCTGGGAGTACAGGCATGTGCCACCATGCCCAGGAAGTTTTTTTTTTGTGTTTTTTTTTTTGTAGAGACGGGGTTTTGCCATGTTTCCCAGGCTAATCTCAAACTCCTGAGCTCAAGTGAGCCACCTGCCTTGGCCTCCCAAAGTGCTGGGATTACAGGTATGAGCCTCTGTGCCCAGCCCCCATTCCTTTTTCTAACAGAACTCCAGTTTTGTTCAGGTATTAAAACTCCTGGCCAGGTTTGGTGGCTCATACCTGAAATCCCAGCACTTTGAGAGGCTGAGGCAGGAGGATGGCCCAAACCCAGAAGTTTGAGACCAACCTGGGCAACATGACAAGACCTCGTCTCTCTAAAAAAGAAAAAACAAATCAACTCCCGATGTTGCCCTCTGTTTCAGAGACGCTAGCCCCATTTAAGGCCCCTGAAAGGTGGCTGTACCTGTCATGGTGGTGTGGTCTCCTTGCCAGTGATTATAGTAGGCATGGGATTATGTTGCCAACTGGTCAGTGTTGCTTGAGGGGAAGTTTGCCAGCTGCTTCTAGGCGAGTTTTCTTCCCTTTTAAAAAGGAGGCAAAGTGAAGGGCACCTCCTCTCCTTCTTTTGACTTTGTTGCATTTGAATGTGATGCCTGCAACTGCTGTTTTTATCTTGATGAGCAGGAGGGGAGCTAGCTTAAAGACAAAGCCAATACTTGGAGCACTGCAAAGCTGAAGTGTCTTAGAGAAAAGAAGCTAGAGCCCTGACAAACTTTGCTGATAGCCACCATATACTAACCCTGCATACTTCATATTATGACAGCCACTAAATCTGCTTTGAATTGGAATAGTGAAGATTGCTGGTTATCCCCAATAGCATTCTCCCCTGTTATGTTTAATGATAGAATCCCCAAATTTTAGCTGTCCACATGAACTCCCATAATAAAGATATTTCCCAAACTCCTTCGCAACTAAATGGGTTATGTAGCTGAGTTATGGCCAATGGGATGTAGACAGAAGTGCCGTTCTAGAAAGTGACATTAAAGAGGAAGGGTATGACCATCTTCATCCTAGTCTCCACACTGCTGGCTGGATTGTAACCATGGCTGGGGCAGCCATCATGGACCATGAGGTGTCCTTTCAAGAAGGAGCACATGTAGGACAGAGTAACTGCACAAAAGGAGGCTAAGTTCCCGTGGTTTCATAGAGAAGAACCTCCATACCAGCCCTGGATCGTTCACCTCTGGACCTTAACAAGAAGGAAAGAAACTTCCATCTCTTTAAGCCAGTGTTATTGTGGTTTTATTGTTATGCACAGACAAACCTTATTCTAACTAATATAATTATCTTCTTTTAACTTGTGGCCCAAAGCATCCTAACCAGTACACTGAATGCTGCCTTATTGGGTCCCCTTTAAGAAAAAGTAAGCCAAAGAAAGTAGAAAGTGGGTAAAGATTATAGTATTTGTCTCAGCTCTTAATTTGTAGACATGAATAGGCTTTTGTAAGATGTGAGAAATTGCAGCTCCTCCAGAGTAGTGGGGATGGAGGAAACAGCAGAAAGTGGGCCCACTATGAATAATGCACAAATGCATATTGATCACTTTATATTTTAAGTGAAAAAATTGCCTTCAGGCATGCCAGACTACCAAGGAAGCCAGCAGGAGTTTCAAATAAGGAAAACTACTGCAAATTAGGAATTGCTAGTATCAATAATTACTTTCTATTTCCTTTGGTCTTTGTGAATTGAAAGCAATACTTTAGAAATGGGAAGCTCTTTAGGAAACCAAATCTCATGTTGCAAAACCATAAAGGATTTTGTGAGTTGTGAGTTTCATAGAGTCAACCACAAAGACAGAAAGACAGTAGACTGAGACAGATTAACATTTTCTCCTGTACTTGTGGAACAAAGAGTGACTTTCCCTCTTGTGGCTTCTAATACAAGCCTTGAACCCCATAGAGTTAGATGATGATTTCAAGCCCCTGTCTTGATGAAAAACTTCTTTTTGCTATGGAAGTCGGCTGTAAGAGGGCCACATCATCAAAGGTGCTCTAGGAATAGTAACTACTAGGATGACAATAGGAATTTTTATTATCTTTTACTGTGAACTACTGAGCTGATTGTAGTTTTACTCTGTTGTAATCTCTGGGAAGGTCTGAACTGGGTTCACAGGTAGAAAGTGCAATAGCAGGAGCCCAATTTGTAAAGGTAGTTTCTAATTTCATTAAAATAAATGTACTGTGAACGTTTTACAAAATATGCAGTGTGAATCATGGTAGTGAATTTTCATCTCTTAATCAGAAATAGTAATTTTTTTGTTAGTATGGCTGGGTAACATCACTCTAAGAAATAAGGTACATATAACAGTTTGCACTGTGAAATGGGAAATGAAGTCAGAAGTGAAGATAAAAGCATAATGAAAAGGAAGACAGGAGAATAAAAGCACAATTCATCTGCTATAGTCTGTTTAAGGCACTTTACCAACAGTTCAAAACTAACACACATATGCACACACACACACACACACAAAAGGAAGGAGAGAGAGAGAGAGAGAGAGAGGAAAAGAGAGAGAGAGAAAGAGATTTAACAGAACCCTAAATGCAGTACAGATTTTCTCCTTTGAAACTGGAAAATTCATTTTAAAAACAGACTAGCAAGTTGCTGCCAATGTGAAAATGCATGCCAGCTTTTAAAAAGTGCCCCCTGCCTTTGGTACTGTATGTTTTTTTTTCTCACTTAGGGAAGAGAATAAACACTTTAGAGATATGAAAGCAACTAATTCACTTGTGCAAATTGCAGGTTTTAGGACCTAAGGAAGTTTGTATTTCTATGCTTGATATTGTATGGAATGAGTCTATAGGATTAAAGTAAATTAATAGTTTTTACTAGGAGCCCCAAAGTGACTTTTAAAAGGTCCATAGTCTCAAGGAATTTTGGAAGAAGGGTAAATGTCTCTATGCCAAACCATGTGGATTTTTTTTCTTTTTCCTTTTTAAAAACTATTTTTATTTTAAAAGAAAACATAGGCCCAGACAGCCACACAAAACAAATGCATAGCTTAGTGAATCATTATAAGGCAAATACTTAGTAGCCACTACCCAGGTCAAGACATAGAAAGAATTTCACTAGCCATCAAAGGAGCCTTCCATGTGCCCTGTCCCAGTTGACCTCTTTGTTTCTCCAAAAATGATGACTATTTTCAGTTATCTATTTATAACTACCCCAAAGATCCTGGCTCTTAAAACAGGTATTTATTTGCTCACAATTCTGCTGAACTGGGTCCAGGCTGGGTGGTTCTACTTTTTATTTTTGCTGGTGGTCATTCCTGTGGATGCGTGCATCTGGTGGATCAACTGGTGGCTGGACTTAGCTGACAAGGCTTTCTTGCACTCCGGGTGGCCTTTCTGCATGACCTCTCCAATAGGATACTGAACTGTTTAAATGGTGGGTCTGATCTTACATTGCTAGAGTGTAAAAGCATGTAGAAGCTTCTAGGACTTCTTGTGGCTTAGGCCTGGAATGGTGCCGCATTACTCTGCTACATTTTGTTGGTTAAAGCTGGTCTCAGAGCCAGCCCAGATTCAAGAGAGGACTACACACAGGCATCAACACCTGTGTAGGGGCTACCCTGCTAACAGAGTACCACCTCACTAATCCTAGTTTTTATAATAATGTCTCCCTCTATTTCCTTATGGTTTCATCACCCAACTATGTATTTTTAAACATTGTAGTCTTACTCACTTAAACAGATGTGTCTTTTAAACTATACGTTTCCCCTGCATCTTTTACTTGCAGATGATCTGTTGAAAGACTTGAGCTGTTTGATATGTAGAGTTGTCCACAGTCTGGAGTTTTCTCATGGTGCAGTTCCATGCATTTCTCCTGTACTTTCTACAAATTGACGGAGATGGTGAGACTTGGTCAGTCTTAACAATCAATCCTTTTTTTTAAAACTTTTAAGTTCAGGGGAAGATGTGCAGTGTGTACAGATTTGTTACATAGGTAAACGAAGCACCATGGAGGCTTGTTGTATAGATTATTTCATCACCCAGGTATTAAGCCTAGTATTCATTAGTTATTTTTCCTGATCCTCTCGCTCCCCCTACCCCCTTCACCCTCTGATAGGGCTCAGTGTCTGTTGTTTCCTTCTGTGTGTCCATATGTACTTATCATTTAGCTCTCACTCATCAGTGAGAATAAATGGCACTTGGTTTTCTGTTCCTGTGTTACTTTGCTAAAAATAATGACCTCCAGCTCCAACCATGTTCCTGCACAGGACTGCATGCATGTGTTCATTGCAGTACTATTCACAATAGCAAAGATACGGAATCAACACAAATACCCATCAATAAAGAAAATGTGGTGCATATACACCTCGGAATACTATGCTGCTGCAGAAAAGAATCAGTCCTTTTGTTAAGACTATAGGTGGTGGTGTGTATTCTTCATCTGGAGGCACATAATAGCTGGCTGCCTCTGTTTTTGTGATGTTAGTCGCTGTTCCGTTGATGCTTATTGCTGAGACCCATTAATTTATTGGGGGTTGAAAAATGGTGATATTTTAATATGTCATTTTGTTTTCATTTATTAGCTAGGATAATTTTATAGAGCAATACTTCCCATATCTATCATTTGGTTACCTGGTATGATAGTTCAAAAGCAGGAAAAAAAGTTATCTTTTCCTTTTATTTACCAGTGTTCAGTATAATCTACTGGTTTCTTGTCATCCCTTAAAGATGATCAATTGTCCTATAAAAATCATGAACTCACGAATCCCATTGTAATCCTTATTTTATTGAAGCTCCAATTTCCCATCATTGGCCAATGAAAAACTCTTCAAGTTGGCTCCTGAGTCTTTTGGAAATTACCCCATAGTATTTGATAGCTTCCTTGCCATCTGGTATGTCAAGATATTTTAGGTTCATCCTGTTTCTTTCCTGTCCCATACCAGGAGTAAGCAAAATCTGTAAGAACCTCTGATTTCTTTTAGTGGGAAATAGTATTTCAATATTACAATTTGAGTCTAGCTGTATGTTCATTGCTACAACTGGGTTGGCCGTTATTTCTGGACATTTTTTAGTTTACAGAACTAGGGAAAATGTATCTTTTTAATATTATATTTATACATATCCTTTTCCACACTGAGAATCATGATTCTCAAAGACACTAGGCAATGATAGAATTAAATATGCTCAAATTCTCATTTGCTTTATCATACCAAATACACACAACGGTCTCAGAATAATAATACAAATACTGCCATCATCAATTATGATTATGGAAAGCTGTTGAACAAACTGTTTTTAAAATCAGAGACAAAATTTTTGTATATGCTAATCCAATTCTTCCCCAACTTTATTTTATGATTTTACTATGTTAAAACATGTAATCATTATATTCTATTCTCTTTCCTCATTCACTCTTTGTTTCACAATTAAGTGTTATTTAACACATCAGTCCTTAAGTTGATGTCTCTCTGGTGTTTAGAGTTCATTATCTAGTAGATTCCTCGAGAAGAGCTCATGGGAACATAACAAAGAAGTATGAAGATAGGATTAATTAAGTGGTTCAGTGATATCACCAAAAGCCAGCTTATTTCTTCTACTGTCTGTGGCCCAGCTCTCTTATGGTTGAAAGGTGGCTGCAGCAGCAAATAGTATTAAATTCTTAGGCACAGCAATGTCCCAGAGGCTAAAAAGAGATCTGTTTATTCTTTGAGTCTCCTTATAAGAGCAAGGAAGCCTTTCCCAGATGCCTTACTAGCAGACTTTCCCTCACATCCCACTGATCAAAATTGGGTCACACATTCCTTCCTAAGCCATCACTGGCAAGAGTATGGAATTATCATGGTTTGGTTAGACCAATCAAGATTCACCCCTGAACTGGGGTTAGGGCCATTTCTCTGAAGCACATGGTTATAGGGAGGGTCATGGATACCCAAACAGAATCAGGTTCAGCTTAGCAAGAAGGAAGCATGATGGCTATTAAGTAGGTAACCAACATTACAGATTTTGATAAGTGTGATGAAGGGATCAAAAATAGTACTGAGATAGAAAACTGATGGTGGCAATTGGGCATGGAGATGAGATATACTTGGCTGTGGTATTCAGAAGGACAATAAGTTGCTATCTGTGTGAAGAACAACGGGGAGTACATTCTGGTTAGAAAGAACAGCATATAGAAGGGGGAGGAGGGGGAAGTACTTGAAGAAACTGAAGAAAGGGTGTTATGTTGGGAGTGCAGTGAGCAAGAGGGAGGTTTGATGGGACGGGATGCCTGTTAATATTTTGTTGCCTGGCCGGGCGTGGTGGCTCACGCCTGTAATCCCAGCACTTTGGGAGTCCCAGGCAGGTGGATCACCTGAGGTCAGGAGTTTGAGACCAGCCTGGTCAACATGGTGAAACCCTGTCTCTATTAAAAATACAAAATTAGCCAGGTGTGGTGGCACATGCCTATAGTCCCAGCTACTTGGGAGGCTGAGACAGGAGAATTGCTTGAACCCACGGGGACTGAGGCTGCAGTGAGCTGAGACTGCACCACTGTACTCCAGCCTGGGCAAGATAGAGTGAGACTCCGTCTCAAAAAAAAAAAAAAAAAAAAAAAATTTTTTTTTTCTTTGTTGCCTGTCTGTCACCACTAGAATGTAAGGTGTATGAAAGCAGGGTCTTTGTCTTGATTCATTGCTATGAAATTAATAGCACTCTCAGCAAATAGATCAGTGTCTGGTCCACAGTTCCTGACTGATAAATATTTGCTTAATGCATGAATGAAAGGAGAACAAAAAATTTTAAACTGTAGTGAATAACTTAGAAAGTAAGGGAAGTATTGCATTTGTAAAACAGGTTCAGGATATGATGAAGAAACAATAATAGAATAAAAGCGAGCTCTTGGAAATTAAAAATCTGATGATCAACATTTTAGAAAATCCAATTGTTGCTTTGGAAAATAAAGTTGAGGAGATCTTGCATCCAAATTCCGAAATCTAAAATTCTTATTTAAATTTAAACAGTATATTTCAATTATTGTTATCAACTTAATTTTTCTCTTTAAAAATAATTTTAAGTATGTATGTCAGATATTACACATTTGCCACAGTTGCTGATAAAACTTGTCTTTATTTTAACTTTAAGCATCTGTCTGCTTTGCTTAGACTGTAGAGCACAAACATTAAAAGATGGAAAATAGAAGAGGCAATGTAAAAAAAAATTAAAGGATCAATCCAAAAATTTCAATATCTGACTAACAGAAGTCCCAGAAAACAGAGAACAAAGAAAATGAAGGGGAGAAAATTATTAAACAAGTGAAAGCTTATTTTCTAGAACAGAAGATCATGTGTCTCTGGATTTATAGGGCCAAAGAATTCCCGGACTTCACTCTGAGCTGGAAATAGTTCATGCTCCCATCATCCAAAGTAGAAAGACCTTATAATACATAGGTATGGGTTAGAGTCTTCAGCAGTAGTGAGCAGAAATTAGCCCTAGACTAGAAGGCTGCTCTGGACCTGCTCTCATAAAAATTTAAGAGCAAACCTCAAACAGATCAAGCTGATCCCAAGTAACTTAACTACCTGCTTGAATAAAGTACAGATTCTTTATAGGAATACAACAAAATACCCATTCAACAACGTAAAATTCAAAATATCTAATATCCAGCATCCAGTTAAAAACTATCATAGTAGACAGAAGAAGAAGCAGGAAAATATCCACAAGTATAAAGAAAATAAATCAATAGAAATAGACTCAGGAATTATAGACATAGTGAAATTAGCAGACAAAGATGGTAAAGCAGTCCGTATATGCTCCATGTGCTAACACAGAGGCAAACGTGAACATGATGAGAAAAATGGAAGATATAAAAAAATCTTTCTGATCTCCAGTCTTCAGGAAAGAGCAATATGACTACTGTGTTTCTGTAGCCTCCTGGAACATCTAGGCGGAATGTAGCTGTACTGACCTGCTACCAACATTCTCCATGGAGCTGGGAGAGGAACGAAGCAGCCTGCAGAGAACTGAATGTACACGGGGAGCTGCTGAAATGGGGCTGGTCTGGGGCCAGAGCAGCTGAGCAGGATCAATTCAGAAATGAAGGAAAATTGTGGATGTTCCTTTAAAAAGCACATCATTATTGGTGGCCTTGTGCCCTTAGTTCTGGTTTGCACACAGAACAAGTGACAATTTCCATGATTAGCTAAAAAGAATTCAGAGATTTTCCGAATTTGGACTGAATGTGTTTGTTTAAAGGATTATTTCCTGTGTAACTCATTCAGCACGAGTTACACGGGAAAAATTGCCTAAGCAAAGCAGATGCAGGCTTAGAGCTAAAATAAAGTCAAATTTTATGAGCAACAATGGCAAATGTGTAATATCTGGAGTATAAATATTTAAAATGGTTTTGTTAGAGAGGAGAGTTAAATTAGTAACAATAATTGAAAGATATGGTTTACATTTAAAGTAAGAATTTTAGAGCATGACTAAGACCTGAGCGTGTCAAGTGATATGTAAGTTCCTAACTGAAAATGCTAACTCCTAGTCTGAGAAATGATAATCATTGTAGTAAAAGCTAACATTTATTGAGTGCCTACTATGTGCCAGGCAAGTAAATATCTCAGACAAAAGGTAACAGGATATCAAATGCTCTTCCAGAAATTCTAAGTGTTTCTTCTAGAAATTCCAAGTATGCATAGCTTTTTCTTTAATGAAAAGGAGTATCAGCTTGATAGGATTTGAACACTCAGCTGCTTTAGCTACCTTAAATGAGCTAAATGGAAACATTTAGTAAACTTTTGATTCCATATCTTAATTCTAAATTATTTGGCTATTTGTGTGTGTGTGTGTGTGTGTGTGTGTGTGTGTGACTCCTCTGTCACACAAGCTGGAGTGCAGTGGTGTGATCTTGGCTCACTGCAACCTCTGCCTTCTAG